GGCACCGGGTGTGGGCCCGCAGCCGCGTCTCCAGGATTCAGCCCCGATCCGCCCGCGTCTCCGCCCCTCCTCCCGGTCTCAGTGCATCTTCAGCTCCCTGGTTGTGGGGCTTCTGTGCAGCCAGGTCTCAGGAGGCTCTGAGTGACGGTGGTTCTGTGTTTTAGTTGTGATTTTGATGTGGTGGCGGGAGGCGGCGGGTACAGCTGTGACCTACGCCACCATCTTGTTTCTCCCCTGAGAAAAAAGTCTTTAAAAATCGCTCCCTTTCAATTTTACAAAATTTTACAAAATATTTGGCTTTGACCACACTTTACAGACAATCCCACCTGATGAACTTGTCAGCTACTCAGTCCTGCAAGTTGGTGCCTAAATTATCCCATTAAGCCCATTAGTTTGTGGATATCTCTAAAGGAGCTATATGGACATCAATTGTTAGCACTTGTCTAAAAATTTACAACTTGCAAGCAGTTTTGTGATGTAGTTTAATGGTACACAAATTTAGATTTAGACACATCTGGGTTAGCATGTATCTTCACCACTCAACTAGCACAATGTTAGAGAAGTCATGAAACACATCAATCTCTTTCATTTGTAGATGATGATCACAAGGATGACGTGAGAACATGAGATAATAGAAACATCTAGTCCAATGCCTCGAAAATGAAAATGGTAGTCACTCAGCGTCACCAAAATTATAATTGCCTTAATTATGACAAATATTGGCTCATTCTCAAATGCTTGAAAATTGTTTTAAGGAGAACTTTTTTCTGTATTGATGCACCTCTTTTCCCCATATTGATGCTGGTTGTGATATCCAAGATATATGGCTTGCACTTTAATCAACAATATAAAATATTAGTGCAACTAAAACTTGTTAGAGCCCAAGCCTGAGTTGAATTTGATACAATTCTTGCCAAAAGCTTACTTTAGCTTTCGATTTTTTAGAAAGTCAGTCTAATGGACAGATTAACTATTAATCTTTCTATCTTTTTCAGGCTTTAGCATGCTGTATTAAGATCACTCACCGGAAAGCATAGTGCCTTCACCATATTTTATAAATTCCCCACAGGAATGCTTTTACCTAAGTATGACTTAATGATTAATAATTTATAATTTTTTCTTAGCCATCCAGAAGTCAAATGCAAGCCAGTTCCTCTTGATAAGCACTTGTATTTCTTTGTCATGCTATAGAAGGCAATGTTCACTTTCAATTCATTTATGTAGTGAACAACCCAGAGTAGTTTTGTTCAACATCAGAATTATCACTACAGAAATATTCTGGGATAACTGACTGAGTTGGGGGAGAGAATTAGTACTGACAGTCAGGACTGTTGTGCAGGCTTTCTGTATATGGTCTGTTTACCCTTTATGACCTTGTGCAATATGTGAGGGATTCCAAAATTTACATGTGAGGAAATATGACTCAGGCAATGTTAGGACATTTGGAAAAAATAATGTTTTTCTTGAGTCTTTTCTATTTCAACTACTGCATCTTCCATTCTTTTAAGTAGTCTGTAGATGCTGTGATTTGAGTCAATCAGTATTCTGATTCTACTTGAGGACCCTCCAGTTTACTTACATGCCTTTTGGGTGTGGTCATGGATTACAACAGAATAGAGAAGGGCTGCCTCCTCCACCTTCCTTCAATACAGATAAAGATTATATAGTTTTCTTGGCAGATACAAACCGGTGTTGATTTACATGGCAGTTACTATTCAGTAAAATCCTTTGGAAGTTTTCTTTGCTACAAAGAAACATATCTTTTCTCTACTGTACTTGTGCAGATGGGATATTTCTGTCCAAATTTCATAACCATACATATATTCCATTGTATATTATTTTATTAGGTTTGGCCCATCATTCTAAGATATAAAAATCTAATACAATTAAAACTTTATATTTACTTCCCATTTATTAGGTGCCAGTCACTGTATCAGGCATTTTCACTCGTATTTTTTTTATTTTATTCTTATTTAATCCAAAGAGTAATACCAATTTTATGACCAAAGGTTCAAGAATATTAAGTAATTTGACTGAGACCTCTCAGAACATTAGTAACATCATTTAGGTTTTGAATGCACGTCTATCTAATTTCAAAGCTCATGATTTTATTTGCTTATACTGGCCTATAATCATAATTTGTATTCAAGGGACTCCATGTAAAGATTTCAATTTTGAAAGCACATTTAATATTTTAAAGGAAGAGAATTCCATATGTGAGAACAAACTGCAGTATCTGTAGCCTCTGTTTATAAATTGTGAGGTGTTGTTATAGATGTGTTTATATGTATAGATGGTGTATATAAATGATTCCTGACCAACTTTTAATGTGTTACTTTTGTGCATGATATTGAGCAAGATATTTGGAAAAGAAGTAAATTTTAAGATGAACAATTGTTAGTTTTTTAAACTATTAATCTGGAAAGAGAGCTCCAAGAAGAGATATGCCATTATGAGTATTCCATGTTTCTCTCTTTAAAATTGCTTCACACTCCATCCTTGTAACATCCCTTGAGGGAAGTAGACAAAAGAAGCTATTGCTATTGTGAAAATGTCCCTCTCTCTGGTCACAAGTGACTGAGCTAAGGGAAAATAAATCCCTAGGCTGGGCTAGACCCCAATTAAGATTATTTTTTTACAGTTTTTGAGATAGAGGTTATAGACATGTGGTGGGAACTTAAACTGAAAAATCCAAGGTGAAGCTGGGGTGGCATTGTTTAATGTGCATTCTTAGAAGTAAGCGAACAAAGCCATTCTTTAGATAGAATGAAAAGTCCAGAAAACAGTGATCCCATGAAAGGTATAAGGAGTCATCCCAGTACTTGATTTTCCATTTGTATTTCCCAGGACACAGAAATGAACTATGTATTCTCTCCTTGGATGTCTATGAGATTGCTATTTGTATATTTAAAATGTCGGCCACACACCATTTGTTTAAGCTAGCAGTAAGAGTCTGATTTTTACAGTGACTGATACTCCATTAAGATTAACTAACATCACCCTGGCCATTGTTGCTCAGCGATTAGAGCATTGGTCCCCCACAAGGAAGGGTCATGAGTTTGATTCCTAGTCAAGGGCATGTACCTGGGATTGCAGGCTCAGTCTCAGGCCCCAGTTGGGGTGTGTTCAGGAGGCTACCAATCGATATGTCTCTTTCACATAGATGTTTCTCTCTCTCTCTTTCTCTCTCTCTCTTTCTCCCTTCCCTCCTCCCCTCCCACTATCTGAAAATCAATGGAAAAAATATCCTCAAGTGAGGATTAACAATAACAACAAAAGATTAACTGACATCTTTTCTTACTTTCTTAATAGATAAGTAATGGATTAAACTATTAAACAACTCAGTTTCACTAAACAGTGTGGAATTCTGATACAGAATATATGTGTGTGATTACTGTTTTAGGAAAACGGTATAGAAGGAATTCAGCCAAGGCCAGCACTAGAAGACACAAAATATACACATACAAAATGCCACAATAGCAATTACAAAATTTCTTATCTTTAATTGCAATAATAAAATTACAAGGAGGGTTAAGGGGAATGAATTACCAGTCAGTTGTCAATGAATAGGGTCACTTGCATAGTTTTTGACAAGAATTAGGCTGGAGAAAGCTAGCAAAAGAACATATTTTTATGTAAGAGGAAAGATCAAGGTTTATGAATGGGGAATTGGTACTTAAAATTATATTTAATGAAGACAAATTTGAGTGCCTGTAGGGTGATTTGAAATAGATAAAGACTAGAATTAAGGGAAACCTGTAAAGACTACTACAGCAACCCAGATATGGAATTACAAAGATGACTTTAGTTGATGTAGATATATAAACAATGAATCATGTTTAAATACATAATGAAAAGTAATTGGAAGAACATTATTTTCTTTAGGGAAATTGATGACAAAGAAAAATTTCATGAGTAATATTCAAGATAATTAGTTTGTATTTGTGCTTTTTTTTTTTTTTAACAATGGCTAGAAGGTTAAAGATTGATTCTAGTCATGGGGAAAAACAAATGTTGTTTTTACTTGTTAAGTTGCTGTCACTGGTGGGATTGCCACATAGATGACTAAGGAAAGACAGTGTTTTGGGAAATGTACTCAGTACGTATCCATGTATAGTAATTAAAACTCTGTAATTGAAACTTTGGTGCATTCACCAAAAAGAAGGCTATATTAGAGGAGAAAAACGTTACTTTAAGGAATATCAGAGTTAAAATTTGGAAGGAAGAACTGAGTCAAGGGGAATAACAGAGCTATAAGAAAAGAAGAGTGGATAATGCTGTCATGAACATAGGGGTGCATATAATCTTTGCAAACAAATGTTTTCAAATTTTTCATGTAGCTATAAACAAAAGAAACAAACAAACAAAAACTCATAGACCCCAACAACAGTATGGTGGTCTTCAAAGAAAAAGGAGGGGGTGAGGTAGTGAAGGGTAGAGGAGGCTGAGTGTATGGTGATGGAAGGAGATTTGACTTTATACAATGCAATATAGAGATGATGTATTAGACCACTGTACACTTGAAATCTATATAATTTTATTAACCAATGTCACCCCAATAAATTTAATTAAAAAGGAAGAATGGAGCCTAGAGCCAATGAATACTGCCTTTAGGGAAGAAAAGCCTAGTCAATGGTTAAATGCAGATGAGAGTGAAATAACTGGATTCCCCACCTCCCACCACCAAATCTCTAGCAACTTCACGACTCTTTTATTACAGAGAAGAAATGGAAAGGATGGTTTTGGTAAAAGGATTCAATGGATAAGTAAATAAAGCAGAATGAGTTACTCATGAAATTACAAATTAAGTCTAATATTAAGTATAACAGAATCTAATTTAACAATTCAGATTTCTCCAAAACCCAGGAATTTTTTTTGAATACATGTATTCAGTTTATTGTTATCTTTTATTCATATCCTAAACTTTTTTAATTTAAAATTTTTCTTTATACAGTGTATCCAAATTTCATATAGAGCTAAAGAAAATACATTTATTGCAGGTGCAAAATTGAAAATGGCTTCCCCAGAACCTAAGGGCCTTGTCGCCTTCACCAAGGAATCTCTTGAACTTATGGAACAGCGTATTGCTAAAAAACACAATGAAGAACATGGAGAAGAAGATTTAAAGCCAAACCCTGACTTGGAAGTTGGAAAAGAGCTTCCATTCGTTTACGGAAATCTTCCTCGAGGGATGGTGTCAGAGCCATTGGAAGATGTGGACCCATACTACCAGAATCAAAATGTAAGGATTAATTTAACTTATTGTGACTACATTTTTATCATTTTATTTTGCAGACATGCAAAAAACATAATTGAGATAGGATGTAAAAAGAGAATGAAGAATAAATTAACAAGTAATTTTACAAAACTCCCTAAGAAATCTCTCACATACCTGAGATTTTTATCAAAACTCACTGCTTGCCTGGTTGGTTAGTTTGTTTGGGGTTACTTTACTTTGTAATAGGCTGTATTGTTATACCTTTTTAAATTTTTTTCCTCCCATCTGTGAACATTAGATGTCTTTATATTTATTTATATCTTCTTTATTTCAACAATGTTTTGTAGTTTTCAGTATACAAGTGTTATGCTTTTATTAAATGTATTCCTAATTATTGCATTCTTTATGGTGATATTATGAATGGAATTGTTTCCTTAATTCATTTTTGGCTTGTTTATTGCTACCGTATAGAATACAATTGATTTTTTAATATTAATCTTATAACCTGAAACCTCACTAAAATAATTTTTAAAAATTGTTGACACTATTATAGCTATCCCTTATTTCCCCCCTTTGCACACCGCCACCCAGCCCTCTTGTCCCCCTTGCCCCCCACCCCCCAGCCTTCAACACACTGTTGTCTGCTTCCATGGGCTATGAATATATGTTCTTAGGCTAACCTCTTCACCTTCTTTTATCTAGACCTTCCCACCATCTCCCCTCTGCTATGCCTTAAAATAATGACTTTTTTTATTGGAGTATGATGATTGGCTACTTAAGGTTATCAATTTTAAAATAACGATAATATAAAATTTCTATAATATGTACACAGTTTCCTGTGTTCAACTTGATGAGCTCACTTAGTAGTCAGGAAAATAAAACCAATCTATATTTTATTTATCATTTTTTATTCACTCATACATTCACATTCTATCTTATCTCCAGAATAACTTGTGAAACCTACTAAATATTTGAACAATTGAAGAAAAAGCACAAAATGATAAAAATAGTACTTATGTTTAGAAAAGGCAGAGATCCATGTGGGCTGACAGCTGGAAGAGTCTTCATTAAATAAACAGAATGTGAGTTTAGAGTATATTTCCCATTTTAATGAGGCAAAGGGAAGGTCTTGGAACAAGCAAGAGCAATGATGAGTTCTGGAACAGGGAAGAAACAGGGTGATGATAGACCCGGAACCCTTGCAACTGTGTTGCAAGTTGTAGGAAACAGATGAAATAAGTGAGATTTCAACACGGATTTAATGTGATGGCCAAAAGACTGATGCGATGAATGCAATATTTAGTAAGATTAATATGAAGATTTCTAAATTACTATTGCATGGAAGTGATAGGGTCATAAAAATGAAATAGGAGAGAAAGAGAAATCCAGGACTGATGGTCAGAGGCCTGGATTATAGAAGCGTTTCAGAGGAGAGAGGTAACAAACCCAAGAAGGATCAGCAGGATTTGAAGACTAACTAATAATGCCAAGGTTTCAAGCCTGAAAGAATGGTGGTGCTGCGACAAATAGGCAATAACTATAAAAAACACCAAGTTTGAGGGAGAAGAGGATTAGACCTATTCTGGACAAATGTAATTTGATATTCTTGTAGAGCATTCATAGATATTAACAAGTGGGTGAAATGGAATTGAACCGAAACTCTGGATGGAAGGCAAAGTGATCATTTTATACAACCACAACTCTTGAATCTTTGCATGGTGGGAGAGTATTGGCATTTTACAGTGTAAATGTATGCATTGACAAAGGACTCCAGTGACTGTGGTGACCTCCAAGGCATTATACAACATTAATAATAAACACCTGTAAAATCTTGAGAACATTTAGTGGAAATGGAAGTCCTCATCTCAATTATCTCTGCTTCTAGCTTTTGCTGTGCTTTAATCGTAAAACTCAATATAACACAATAACCTTAGAGATAATTCTAATAAAGCAAAGTTTGGAGTTCTTTGTAGTATATATTGAAGTGATAAGTAAATCAGGTTTGTTATTGAAGGAAAAAAACAAGGACTTTGAAAAATAAGACAAGTCAAAAACTGCAGCATAGCTTAGTATGAAAAGTAGTTATTAATGATGACACAGTTACTAACATTTTGAATTATATTCAGTTTATTCTGTTAAAAATGGCAAAGCAGTTAATGATTCTAAAATTAAATAAACAATTTCAGCACTTAAACATTAACTGAATATATTATACCTGGAATTATTCTTTGCTTCGTAAAGACATATAAGCTGTTTGGTTGCACATTCATCTTCTTGAAATTTGAGATTGTTCTGGAAAATATATAGAAAGCACATTTTAAATAATCAGATTTATTTTGGGGGCCCTTTTTAATTTTCTCATTGCATTTCAATGAAAAGAGGGAAAATATCTATAACATAGTCCAAATATCCACAGATTGTATGTTGGAAAAGGTTTCCATTCAGACCATATATTTATAAATAATTGGCAAATATATATTTGTATCCACTACTATATTTGTGTGTGTGTGTGTATATATATATATATACACACAAATATAAGTACCAATATATATTCATCATATACACCTCTGTATAATTATATGTTATGTAATATAAAATATAGTATAGTATACATGGTGGGACAAAAGTAGGTTTACAGTTGTTCATATGGAAAATAATACAATAATTAATAAATAATAATACAAAAGTAAACTCACATATTCACAACTGTAAACCTACTTTTCCATGCCCTATATAAGAGGTTATATTTAAACATATCATTTTAGTATATTATAGTATATTGTATTACATTGCATTATATACCATATATTATGTACTGTTATATTATAACATATGTAATATTCAATATATATTTATGCACATACCACAATAAATGAATTTTCCAAATGGGTGTGTATTATAGTAAAGGTGTGTATACAGAGACATACACTCTTACACACTTTCAGAGTGCGTACATATATATTGTAGATACACACACATATACATAGATACATATGTATATGACTCATTTTTAGGATATTTTTTATCTTTCATTTGTTTTGCTTTATATCTCAACATATTATTTTTACATGATCTAAATGTATGTTATGACAATGATAACAAACAAGTAGGGTTTTAAACCATGAATAATTACTAATGATTGATGTAATATTTCAGTGCATTTGGATCATTTTTACTATTGTAATCCCACACCTCATTTGCCTTGAAATTAAATTAACATTTTTTTTTTACATTTATTGAATTCTAGTATGTTTAAATGCATCTCCATAAGCCGTTAATATATACCTTTCTATTATTTCAGTTATGTAGGAAGACTTGAGGACTGGTATATGGCAAATGGTTTTCTCAAGTAGAATGCTAGCCAAAAAAAAAAAAAGTGGTTGATAAGCCTAAATATCAATGAAAAGAGGGTTATTTTTGTTTCTGTTTTTCAAACTCACACCTTTCCATTGATTTTGTCTGTGAAAGAATATCAAAATATAAGAAAAATATAACTGTTAGAACTCATGGCTGAAATAGCCATTGTCAATATGTCGCATACTTGGTTAGATTATATAGTTCATAGTTCTCATTTCACACGATGCTCTTTTTTGCCTTACAGACTTTCATGGTATTAAATAAAAAGAGAACAATTTTCAGATTTAATGCCACCTGGTGTACACTCTCGCCTTTCAATTTAATTAGAAGAACAGCTGTGAAGATTTTGGTGCACCCATATCCTTTTCTGTTGACTTTAGAATGTGTAAATATCAAATGCAACTATTCTGTTCAAATAGCGCTGCAGTCTTTTCCTCTTTTGAATTGATGTCTCATTTTATGTCATATTGAAATCTGGATCAGCTGCACTAAGTGTCCCATATTTGAAAATGCATTTAAATATATTTTTAGTACACATAACAGTACTAAATATTCACAAATCTTAATCTTCATTGTCAATATGAATAATATATATTTTTTGATAGTTTAAGAAACTTTTATTTCACGTGTATATGCATATAAACAGATTTAGAAACATGTATTTCCAATATTATTTATTATCTATTATCCCTTGACTGTAATCTACATTTTTTCGACTGTTTATTTTGATTAGTGTCCTGATTGACTGCGTATTTATGTCCATGACTAATTTGCCAAAATGGGGGCCAGAATTACAGTAAGTAATAAAGTTTATTATACATATTCTAATATAAGATTATATGTTATATTTACATATGGCACTACTGTACATTATATACTAAATATTATAACATTGTACAACTTAATATTTATATCTTATATATAACATAATAGTCATTGTACATAATATTTATATACCTACCATGATTAATGAATTTTCTAAGTAGAAACAAATATACATATGTGTCAGTTAATCAATTTTAATGTTTTTCTGCTCTTTCATTATTTCCCAACCTGTTAGGTTAACATTATGTAAATGTTTGAGTCTCTAGCTATAGGCTTATGCCTCTGGTATCATACAAATGAGGTTTCATTTTAAAGTTAATCACTAAGGATTAATATAATAATTCAGTTCCTCAAATTTTCTTTACTGTTGCAATCCCACACCTGATTTGTTTCAAACTTAGATAACTTTATTTCTTTTCATTCTTTATGAAAGTTATTCGCCTTTCTTTCTATTCTACTTCTTTTCTCTTTCCTGGGGTATGTGAGTAGATTGACTTGGCGTTAGCCTACAATGATGGAAAGGCCCATTAAATTTTCTAGGGATGAAGGCTTTCTTGATGCTGTCTCTCAAGTTTAATTCTGCTCTTAAAACTAGTTGACTTTGGAAGGTAAATATAATACTGATTAGCCATAAAAGGCATTATATGTACATATAATAAAATTAGTTCTTTAAACCCCTTTACCATTGAGTTAATTATTGCATGATTCCCAACGTGGAATAAATTTGATATTTGAAATTTTCATCATTTACCTAAATAAATATAAAGACTATAATCCTGAGCTAGCACTTGTTGAAAAAACTGATAGTCAGATTGTATGGTTGATGCCATGAGACATAGGCCACCCTAGAAGCCCTATCTAAAGCCTATCCTACGGTTCAAAGGGCACATGCTTTTTGGATTGTTGTCTGGCAGTTGATTGGTTCGTTGGTTGATTGGTTGCCAGATAGTTATCATAGACATTGTATTTCAGAACTGACAATGTATTATTTTCACTTTTAATGTAAATATAAAATTTTTCTGCAGGATCACTTTGCTTGCAATTTACACATTTGAAATACTTGTAAAACTCGTTGCAAGAGGCATCTGGACAGGATCTTATTATTTCTTTGGTGATCCATGGAACTGGCTTGACTTCAGTGTAACTTTGTTTGAGTGAGTATTTATTTAAGCTGCAAACATCTTAATACCTTGCTAAGCAAATGCTTTTCATTAAAAAATTGAGGGTGGAAAAGTTTTCTCCCTGAAAAAATTTTGCAAATAAAGAATATTTCATAAATTATAGTCATAGCGAGCTCCCTCAGACAGCTCCAACTGAACTAGGTCTCAGAATATGCAATAAAAATGAAAGGAATGGGATATTATCTATGTTTTCCATATGAAGCAAAGATGGTAGAAGTTGAATTTTTGCTTTTTAAGTTATTTTTAGTCAGCAGAAAATCTGGAGACTTAGGATCCTAGCATATACAGTTTTGTCTCAAATCTACATTTTATTTACTTACATTTCCTAAGACCAATAACTATATTAGATATCTGAATAAGCTATTTTAAAAACACACACATAATTTTTTACATTTCCTAAAGTGTTACATTAAATTCTAATAATTTGCATATGCATTTATTTTTTAAATACACCTTTTTAATGTACTCTGCTTTGTGGTTGAGTGATCAATGGTGTTAAATGCCTGTTAAAGTTAAAATAATATTATATTTATAGATTCTGTGTCAAAAATTAAAAAAAATATATTTATAAAGGTTAATAATTAGTTCTGCCATGTTGTAAGCAATCAAAATATAGTAGCTAAAATCATTGCAATTAGTATCACCACTACTTCTACTATTACTATTATTATTTCTTCTGCTGTGTTAGCAAACACTTAACACAGCTAACTCTTAGATGTCGCTTAGCCTGTGCCAGTTGTTCTTCTATGCACTTTACATGTATTAACACACTTAATCCCCTCAGAAACCTCAGAATAAGGAAGTATTATTATCCCCACTTTACTTCTGGGGAAACTGAGACAGTAAAGATTAGATAATTTTTCCATCATTCAGCCAGTAAAGAGTGGAGCCTGGATTTCTACCCAGCCAGTCTGGCTCCAGAGCCTGTGCTCTTAACCACTGTGTACCTTCCTTTCTTCTATCGTCACCATTACCACTGTTCTCATCAAAATCACCTTAATTCCTTCAACTGAAGCTCATTCCTTTAAAAGATTACTGTTTTTATTTTAAATTATCTTGTTATTAGTTAGATAACAAAGTATTTATGAAGATGACATAAATATGGAATTAAGAGAACTCACAGTATCAAAATTTTATAAATTCTCATATTTGATTGTGAATTAGTATTTACCTGGCTACTGTGCACGTTGCAGCAATCTTTGTCTTCCAATCAGTAATACACTATTTGCAAAATGGAATAATGAGAGCAAGAGAAATATTTGGATATATGGTTTTAAAAATAAGTTTTAAAGAATATAAAAAGCCAAAGATACTTAGCATAATCTCAGTATGACCTCTAAATAACTCTAACTTAATTCCACAGGCATATAACAATATATTCACCTCTGAACTTCATACTAATATTTAGAATTGCAAGAAGTTTGAGAATTTTGAAAATTATTCCTTTAAACCAAGGTAAGAAATGGCACTGAGTTCCTTGTCTTCATTTTGTTTTATGTATTCCCATATATTGATTTGTATTCCTCTGTTACTATTTGAAGAAATATTAAATTGAATACTGCTTCAGCTTTGAAATCAATAAATTATCTGATATTTAAATTTATTTCAGTCACTACAGGAAAGGCAAAAAAATGTCACATTTGACTGTTATTTATTTGGAGTGGGTTCATTAATTATGATAAAATATAGAGCTCAATCAAAAATATTATTTTTCTACTATTTATTTATTCTTACATCTTAAGTATGAACTTATAAAATTGTCTTTAGGCTTCTGAGAGAGATAGCAGCCCAGACAGATGTCTAACCTTCCTCTTCTTCTCCTATTGGATCTAACAATCAGATGAAATAAATAAAGTAACATGACATAAATCCCCTTTTGTTCTGAGTGCTTGGATAGGGTGCATTCCACATGCCACAAAGTTTGAGGAGGTCCTGCTAAATAAGGCTGTGACCACATTGATGGAAGATGCTGAGGACTAATTTATAGCTCCCATTCCTGAAGATATCCTAAAGAACCCCACCAGCACCTAATTTGTTATTCAGAATGAATTAAAACAATTAGATAGGAACAACTCCTATCAGAGATTTTTGGCTGCTATGAGTCAGACTATTATGAAGTAGTTGGATCAATAAGCCCAGGGGAAAGTGTGATAATACCAAAAGTAAGAACTACAGGCAATTTTTGTCTACTGGGACACCATAAAGGAGGCCACACATACACATACTATGTACTTGGAGTCTAGGCTGGTAAAACAGCAAAAAGATTGGAGAGTGTGATGATGGATGCATAACCGTGTAAATATACTAAAACACTGATTTGTACACATTAAATGGGTGAATTGTATGATTTATAAGTTATATCTCAATAGAGCTGTATAGTAAACATGGTTTGTGGCAAGGCAGTTTCGCCAAACCCAGTGAAGCAACCAGTGAGAGTTGCCCTGGTAGGAATTGTCACAGTCTTAACTTCCTTAGTGGTCTCCGCAAATTACTAGAAAATAAAATTGCATCAACTGCATCTTCATTTTAGGAGTAGAGGCAAGGATTATAGAAGAAATCAGGTGAACCCCAGTTAATGCAAGAGGAGTACACTTACTGGAGTTCACAGCACACAGGCTGGTAGGACCTACTCTTTTTCTTTAAGGGAGAAGATAAGCAGGGCACATAGCAGCAATATAAAGTGTATAAAAATATTTTGCAACATAGAAAGAGAAACATACTATTTCAGAGATTGAAAAGAATTCTTTTTTTCTTTTAAAAAAAAGTGCTCTAAGAAATAGGAGCAAGCATAAAAACTCATGTTTTGTAGTCCCAATAGAAGAAAACCTAAACTCTTGGAAGCAGAAGATGAAAACGAGATTATAAAATGACAAATAAAAAGATTGTTAAAACTAAAAGGTGATAAAAATTATAATAACCCTTGGTTAATATTTGAGGGCAACAGAAGCAGTAAAATATAATATCTGTATAATATTATGGTAGAGTAAATCAAAACCACTTGTGTAGAGAAAAACTAGAGGTGCTCTATATTAATACAGTAGAACCAAAAATTGGATGGATTACTGAAGGAAAGAAAACTAAGTTTCACTTTATGGATAATTGGTAATACTAAAAAGGAGACCAGAATAAATGTAAAAGACAAATTATTCAAAAATACATCAGAATTTTTTTAATCACTTAAATTGAGAAAGACCTTAGTCACAAATGGAAAAGGTTCATCTTATATAAGACAAAAAAAAAAAACCCACACAAAAAAACTAAAAGATACACTTATAAAAGTACTATAAAACCCCTACAAGGAAAAAATTTAAAAAAAAAAAAAGAGGCTATGGAAAGGCCATCCTTAGACCTTTTGAGTGGGCAGTGGAGTTTCAGAACTTCGGGGGGAGTGTAGGCAGAGAGGTTATGACACTAGAATTTTATACCTGTCTGTCATTCATGTGTGAAGTCAACAGAAATATATTCTCAGCCACATAAGAGTTCTGAAATTTTACATGTGTATCTTTCCTGAATATCTGTTGAAAAATAAAAGTATAAAAATAAAATATTCAACAATGGGAAGATTTACTACCAAACGTAATCGCAGTGAACTTTTAAATCATTTCAATAGAGAATGAATTCCAAATAACTGTTGTTAGTGGGTTGCAAAACAGAATACAAATATTATAAATTAGTAATTCTGGCATGGACATCTGTAAGTCATTCTTGAACTAGAAACATATTTTATTTGTATTATTAAAAACTTTGGAATAGATACCAACCTTATAAAAATCTGGTGATTTTAACATTAAACTCTAAATTAATTTGGATAAACTGTCAGCATCAATCCAACCAAATTCCTGGATGCAACTACCAGCTGGAGTTGTGGAGCAGCTGACCCTTTAGGTCTGGCATCTTCAACCCAGTCTCCTCCTCTTCCTATTTGTATGAATTTATATTGTCTGAGAAACCTTTGTAGACTTTGAATGTTATCCTTCCTATAAATCATGAAAGAGAATATACAGTGCAAACTACATAAAATTAACAATTATAATTAGGTCAAAGTTTTGAAATTACTTTAATAAAAACTGAGAAGTGGAAATTGAGAAATGTGAGAAAGCAAATATAGTTATGTTCTTTTGTGGTAAGACTAGTAGATACAGTTTTATTTTTGATGTAGAGAGTACATTTGTTCAAAATAAGAACTTAAGTTTGATACAGGATCTCAAAATAGATATACTAGAAGAATAAAGAAAGATATTGAACTTTATTTAGAAAATGTAGAATACATAGTAAATCATAAGGGGAATATAAAAACCAAAATGGTAAAGGCCAATCCAAAATAAAGCCAGTTTATGAAAGTGAAAATTATTGGTTTAAGTTTTTCTGTCAATATGTAGAGACTTTAATATTAAATCAGAAATAAATTGAACTTCACCAGAGATACCTAAACTAAAACAAAATAAAAGTTTAAAAGTAAAATGAAGGGGAAAGTTAAACCAGGAAATCAAAATCAAAATTGGCATATGGTTCAGAACTTTGACTGGTAAATAACAATGAATGGTGAAAAAAAGAAAATTATTAATAAATTTGATTCTGTAAAATTGGATGGTGATTTTTTTACTCTCAAACAAAATGTCACCAATAAATTAAAGCTCATAAAAATTTGGTATATATGTGTGTGTGTGTATACACACACCTATTCTTAAGAGCTATTCTTAAAAATAACTACAAGAAAACAATATGAAAAATTTTTCAGTAGAATAATATACAGAGGACTCAGGAAAGTTATAAAACAAAGTACAGTGCAAATATGCATGTTTTAAAAGTTCATTATAGTAATCACAGTAATTATATTAAAGTGATCTCATTTTTCTTCTAATAAATTGGAAATAATTTTTTTAATATTTTTAATGAAGGCTTGGCTATATACATATATAGTGTTTGGTTTACACATTGGTTTAACATCTCTGAAAAGCAATTTAAACATATGTGTCAATGCTTAAGTGGTCATACCATTTCTTACGTAACACTTAAAAAAAACACTTGTATATAGCAAAAAATGTTAATAGTATAATTTCAAGTAGCAAATTAGGCTATATAAATGTATTTTAATATACTAGCCATTGAATGTGTAGGGTGTCCCAAAAAATGTATTTAATCTACATATCACATTTCTTTAACCATAAGAGTAGCTTTATTTCAGCCCCATTCTATTACACTCAAGAAATCCAATCATCTGTGGAGGTCATTTAAAAAAATAGATTTTTAATTCTCACAATAATATATGAAATAAGTGTTATTATTCCCATTTTAAAGATAATAAAGTGGAGGTATAAAAATGTTGATTAACTTGCTTGGCATCACAGTGCTACTGTATTCTCGTTCATTGTTGAGCTGAGCAGTTATTAGAATCCTAACTATAAACAGACCAACAAATAAGAAGAGACCAAGGGGAAAAGAGGAGAGAAGGAAGGAGGAAGGAAGGAAATTTGTAGTTTCATCTGTGAAGTACAATTGTGTATTTTTTGTGTTTTGTTTCTTCTTGTTTTCTACGTTTTCAGAATTAAGCATGTCTTATTTTTAATAACTAGAATAACAAATGTCTTTAAATAAAGCCAAATTTAAACTTGAATTCTCAGTTAGAAAGTGTTCTGATATAAATACAGCCTGCACCTGGCCGGGCGTGGCTCAGCAGTTGAGCATTGACCTGTGATCCAGGAGATGGAGGTTCAATTCCCAGTCAGGGCACATACCCCAGTGATGGTCTCAGTCCCCAGCATTGCAGGAGGCAACCAGTTGATCAATGACTCTCACCACCGATGTTTCTTTCTATCTCTCTCTCCCTCTCCCTTCCACTCTCTGAAGTGCATTGCAGGAGGCAGCCGACCAATTACTCTCATCATTGATGTTTCTCTCCCTCTCTCTCTTTCTCTC